TGCTTTTTTATTTATAATATCAACTTAGATAGTAATTATTTTTTCTTTTTTCTTAAAAAACAAAAAAAAAAAAAAAAAAAAAAAAAACTTTAAATTATGTTATAAGAAGAAATTTAAGGAAAAAAAAGCTATAAAAAGTGATTTTTTTTTTTCACTCGATAAATGATTCAGTAAAATTTCTTTTGAACGATTTTATAGCTATACTACGTGAAATTGAACATATTGATAAATAATTCAGTAATGGCTTTATAAGTATTAAGGTTTAAATGATTGATGATCAAGGAGCTAACAGTGATTAAAACAACAATAAAAAGTAGTATATGGAAAAATTAGTTATTGAAAATGGAACTGAATCTAGTTCAGTTTTTATTTAGCATTAGATTTATTAAAATTCACTTTAAAAAAATTACTCATCAATAATTTCATTTGCTAAAATTATACGAGGTAAAAGAGAAAGAAAGAGAGAGAGAGTGAGAGGGAAAGAGAGGAAGGAAGAGATTAAAAATAGAAGTATTGGATAATAATATAAAAAGTATAAAAATGATAGACAAAAGTATCACTTTTGATGAGGCGCATTTGACGGAAAGATATTGTTAGCAATATCAACAGTTTCAGCTAACCAAGCAAGCTAAATGAATGAGTGAATTCGATATGAAAATTGAAAATTGTGAAAGGGGGGAGAGAGAGGGAGGGAGAGAGAGAAAGGAGAGAGAGAGAAGGATTGCAATGCGACAATGATAATCTGTAAAGCAAAGTGTCTCTCTTGGCCATAAATAAAAGGAGTAATGGAAAGTGATGACGTAAACAAGGCCATATAGCACATAGCCTAGTGTTGTTGAATCAATGCTAGTTAAACATGTTAAGCTTTAGATATAATTGGAAAGGAAAAATGAAAGAGTGGGAGAGGGAGGGAGAGAGAAAGAAATATAGAATGTTGTTTGAAAATTTTTAGCTAACATTGATTCAAATAATAGCTAATATAGTAAAACAAAATTCCAAAACATGCTAAAATATTTAATTTCTAATATATCTAATAATTTAGTACGCTAAAATAAATTACATTAGAAAATTATCATAAATGAAATGACAAGTAATGACAACATATGACGACAAATTGCAGAGTAATTAGGCAGAAGAAAAAAAAAAGAGAATAATGCAAATGAAAACTGATTATAATAGTATTATAATAGTTAATACTTACCGCAAAAATTGAAATTTACTACTACCAATTTTTTTTCTTTTTGTTTTTTGGCAAACCAAATTAATTAAAAATATTATTTATCGCATCAACAAAACATCAATAAATTTTAACTCAGTGATTGACTTTTATTATATAAGTTGGAAGCAACCTTTTTTGGGGGAAATATTGCTAAAAAACTAAATAACAATAAAATTACATTGTTCAAAATATCGAAGACGTGATGTTTTAATTTTTGATTCGTTTTAATTTTGATTTATAATATATTCATTTCATCTTAAAAATACAGCAATCTTAAAGTGGAAATTGAATTAAAGAAGACAAAAGAAGAAAACATTTTCGTTATTCTTTCAATAATCATTTTAACCACTAATATTGAATACATACTATAATTTCTAAATTTCAATCAATATTTTCTTTTTTTTAATAATTTATTATCTTTATAAATAATAATAAAAACTTTAATATATATAAAAGAGAGAATTAAATATTTTGTGAAAAAAAAATGCTGAATTCAATAAAGTTCATTTAAAATAATTATATTTTTTGAATATTTCTATAAGCATAATGTTAGCAAAAAATTGAGAAAAAACGACCATCAAAAAATATTCAATTCCCAATAGCCCCAAACTAAAACATACATTTTTCTTGTCTTTCACTCAAAAAACTATCAAACTTTGCTCAAAACTTTTAAGCTATATTTAAATAAACATTTTCATCTCATTGTTCCTAAAATATGAAGTTTATTATCACTGAAAAGAAAAACTATTAATAATAATTGTGTTTTTATACGCGTTAAATTAAAGGAATGGATGAAATAAATTATTAAAAAAGTGGAGTTTAATTTGTAGTGATATAAAAATAAATGAAATTTGATAAATAAGCAATTAATCAATCATTGCACAGAATGATTAACGTATAATATGATATTATTGCAATTTTAACATTTAATACAATTTAGCATTAATAAATAATCAATTAACCTTTTGCTACTACTCGAATAATATTTGATGAATTCCAGAAAAAAGAAAGAAAACATATTTTCTGGCTAAATCATAAGCTTGACAAAGTCTAATTAGAGCGCACCTTTGCTAAAATATTTTTAACCCTGTTATTTTTAAAATAAAATAAACAGTTAATAATCTTTTTTAAAATAAAGTTAACAGTTAATAATCATGATTATGTTTTAGCTCATCTTTATTAAAAGAACGTCTTTCAAATTAAATTTAAAAAATTAATACATCAAAGTCCAAAATATTAAGCGCAAAATATTAACAGTTAATAAGATTTCGTGATGTTAGCAATATACATTGCAAAAAAAATAAAAATTTGAAGCAGCTTTCTCCATTTTAACACAAAATAATATAAACATTTTACAATGATCAAACATGGCAGAACTAAGCTATGCTGGCCAATAATGTAGTTTAGTTAAATTACAGAGTCTAAAAATTGCTTAGGAATATGTCGACAGTTTTACAAAGAGAAAGAGGGTTTTATTTAAGACAAAAAAGAAGCTCTTTAAGGCTTACGTTATTCTTTTATTGTAGGAAATGAACGACAAGGATCAAAAGCCTTGCTTGATCTCTTTTGGCTGTTTAAACAGTCGATTCTTTTTTTTTTCTTTTGAAAAATCTGTTGTTTACAGTTGTTTTTTTCGTTTTATACTACTTTTTTCTTTTTCGGAAAACTTCGGCAATATAATGCAAAACCTTGTTATCAAACATTAAAAAGCAAATCATTCTTTTTAAATAATAATCACAAGGCAAATACAACATAGACTGATGAATAATTTGCACCAATCATGAATTAAAAATTTCGTTCAATTAAAACTTCATAATATTACTCAGCTTTTGATGTTTATATTTGAGACTGATGGTATAGGTCACTAGAATTAGTACCACTAGAATTTACATCACGATGAAATCTCAAAATACCAATGAATAAATTCGATCCGATACATATATGTAATTTTTATTGCAAAGCGCTGGATTGATGCAAATATAGAAAACTATGGCATACAAATGTACAACAACGGGGGAAAAAAATCCACAGAAATGTGTAAAATGTGATACATTTTTTTCTTATCAGTGTATAATGTAGCCACTTTATTTAGAATACTCACGATGGAAGTAAAAGTCACAACAACAAAAATGCACGAAACTTGACAACAAAAAAACTTTATATATAAATTATAAACCATTTTAATAATGTAATTTGATAAGAAAGCAATCAATAAAAAGGAACGATTTGTTAATCTCTATGCATTTACATATGGACTCTTTTGGAATGTAATCTACTAACTAATGAAATCTGTACTAAGAAGACACGCAAAGCTATTTCTACAAGTGAAAAAATGACAGAAAAGCGTGCTGTATTTAAAGCCTAAAAATGACAGCCTAAATAATAGAAGTCAAATCTATAAAATAGTGACTTATGAAAAAGGTAATTGTTAAAGGTCATGCGTTCAAATCACCACTGAATTCCCTTTCGGGCAAAATATATGTGATGTCATCCCATGGATGTCGATAAAGTCCTTGTTTTAGCCTTCTTTGATCCAAGTAATGCCCTAAATAAACTAATTTAGTACATTTGAATTCATAACATATTCACCAGTAAATAACTGAAAGAATACGATATACTGCACTGCCACTGATACCAAAAAAAAAAAGTATGTAATGTCACTAAAAAGTAAACGTAGTCTTTCCGAACAAATAAAAAGTCCCATATTCTTTTAAGAGTACATACCAATAAATCCAATACTTCGTCCCAGAACAAAAAGTCCATTTATAGCCCCAATTTCGATGATTTCTTGTGCTTCTTCGGGTGTAAACATTCCGGAACAGCGAAGTATATCCACGAAAATAACACCGATTGCTCCATCAACATTCAGTATTAAATTTGCTTTCTAGAAAAATTAAAAATCAAAATCAATTCTAATTTTCGGTGAGAAGATTAACATGTTGATATTTAAAATATACCTTCGACGTAGTAATCTTCTCCACCTTTAACGCATATTCTAATAACGGAGTTTCTTGCTTAAATTTTTCCGGGTCCAGAACAAAATCTTTCAATATTTCGATACGTTTGTCTGGGTTATTAATCTGTAAATTTATGTATGATAGTGGCATATGAACTGTAATATTATTTTTGATATGCCATTTAGCATGCCCACAGTTAAATTAAGAAAGAACTAACCGACTTGACACGATGACCAATTCCCATTATATGTTCACCAGCAAGTCGTTGTTTATTCACAAATTGCATAGGACTTAGTCCCTTATCAAATGCTTCACTGAACTGTCGTGCTGCACCATCTAAGGCACCTCCAAACCGATCACCCTATCACAACTTACTTCATTAACAGCTTGCAATCATACTTCATTTAATTTAAATACATTATATTTTAACAAAGCAAAATTAGTCTGTAACATATTAAGTACTGTCAGGTAAAAATGAAGCAATCAATTGTTAGCTAAAATGCTTTGCAATGAAATTAATCTCAATGTAATATGAGAAAAAGAATACAATTGTTAGCAATCCAGAAACCAAAGATGACACTAAATCTTTCCCTGCTCGAGTACATACAATCGTGTTATGAGCACCGCTTACAGCAGGTCCATGGTCAGCAGTTATCATCAAACACATTTCAATAAACTTATTTGCATAATCTGGTAGTCGTTTCTGTAACAATTTTCATTCGCATACTTAACAATCTGTAGAACTTTAAAAAAGAAATAGATCGCAAGAATTCAAAAAAAAAAAAGCAGATATCACATTTCTCTAAATGATTTTTAGAGTTTACACAAAGAGTAGTATACCTGAAACCAGAGTAGGCTAAGTACACCTCCAATGCCAATATCTTGTTCAAGCACACGTGATATTGGCATACCTGCGTAAAGGAGCTCATCACCACGTTCATCACATATCGACGTCATAAATGATGCCGATTTCCGTATTAAACCCAGTTCCTGCAAATCGCATCTCATAACAAATAAAGCGCAGTACTGGCAAAATAAAAGGTAGTAATTAGGTAAACTTACTCTTGCCCATGTGTAATCCATGGGCACAGTAGGAGGTAGTTGTTCTTCTTTCAATACAATTACTTCTTTTTGCAAAAGTTCTTTGTAAATCTGTAATATGAAGAAGTTGACGCAGAAAAAGAAAAAAGGAAACTAATCATCAAAGATTAAGTCAGAGATTACAAAACAGAATCAACAATTACTAACCTTGGCAATCTCGTCACCTAAATCGTCAAAGGAATTAGGCACGTGAGCCCCAGCTTCTTTTAGTGCTAAATTTTTAGCAGTAGCAGTTTCAGCTTTTGCATTGGCAGATGCACCAGCATGACCAAATTGAATCTGAACTACAAGCACACTTAGCCGAGTAATTGAAAAAGCACAATGGATGAAAATAATGACGTAAAAAATGACAAATTATAGCTCATAACAACTGTAAAGCTTATGTTTGACCGAAATTTTATTTCTTCATTGTTGTTGTGCAATATTATGAACTTGCCTATATCGATGTTTTTAATTTATAGAGAATGAACTATTATATTTATTTAAGCTACCTCAAATGTGACGTAGTCTGCACAAGTTCCAATGCACCAAGCAACAAGAGGTTTTGTCAGGCGTTTCTCTTTTAATGCTTCAACAACCTTGTATTCCTCAACACCACCCAATTCACCAAGCATAACCATCATTTTTACTCTATAATATTTCCAAGTAATTCATCGGAGGGATTCTATTTCTAGTTTCATTTCTATCAATCATCAATCAATCAACCAAAAGCATTCATTAATAACCTGTCATCCATCTCATATCGTAGAAGATGGTCAACAAACGTGCTTCCTGGGTATTTGTCACCCCCAATAGCAATTCCTTCATAAACTCCATCGGCATTTTGTGAAATTATATTATTAAGCTCATTTGACATTCCTCCAGAACGTGACACATATGCAACACTATAAATTAGTTATTAGCTAACGAGTTTTTTAGTAGTAATAAATATCTAAAAAATTAAACAGATTACCTTCCCGGTCTATAAAGTTTCAATGATAGTATATTGTCCATCATGCCACCAGTATTACCGATTTTAAAACAACCAGGTTTAATTCCACCCACTGTAGCTGGTCCAATCAGTGTAACGCCTTTTTCATTTGCTAACTGAAATATACAACAAATTAAAATCGTTTTGTTTTTCAGTATTACTTGAACTTGCAAAAACACTGAATAAATTAAATCCTAAATCCTTGCCTTAATCAAATGACGAGTTTGATTTTCGGGCATGCCTTCAGCAATTATTGCAATGACGCGAATCTGTGCGAAATCCAAAGCTTCGCGAACTGTTACATAGACAGATCGCAAAGAAGCAAATGTGATAAACACAGAAACATCATGATGCTTATTGAAGGCATCCTTCATTGACTTATAAACTGGCACTAGAATTTCCTGCAAAATAGGCATAACTATAAAATCAACGTATCAAAAGTTGCCGTAAAATGGCCGGAAATAATATCAATACTTCAAACTACAGGAAGCAGTACAAATCGAAAAAAAAAAAAAAAAAAAAAAACAACTTTAACTTACTTTTTGTCCAAAATAATATTTCTGCTTATGATCACCCGTAAAAGGATATGTTGATGCAACCACCGATGGTTGTGAGCGGCCACAGACGAAATCGAAATCAAGCATACCCTGAAATTTGGTGATAAATCATGCACCAGCTTTTTAAAAAAGGTTGAATTTCTGAAGTACAGTTACTAACTATGTTTACCTGTATAGCCTTTACTTGTTGTCCCCATACAATTGCTTTTGTATCACTTTCAAATAAGCTGCCTTCCACTTTAATTCCGCTATCGTTGGTTTCCATCGGTTCTTCTCTACTTTCCGCTAGTTTTATAGCCTTTTTTGCCGGTGATCTCATATTTACGGATGGTTCTGATTCTATAGCTTTCACAGTCTAAAAAATTATTTCAACATTAAGTAAAAATATTGGTGGCTTCTCAACTTCTAAAGGCGTCACCATTATTATCCATACTTACATCTGCTTCTAGTGGAAGAAGAAATTGACCAGTAGTTTGTACAGCTAACGGACTATCCGGAGTACGACACAATCCCAATGCTGCTGCTACGATACTTGTCATATGGGTTTCCGGTCCATATACATGAATTGGTAAGTTTAAGCGCGAACCTATAAAAATCAATATGTTTCGGTAAATTTTGAAATCATTTGATAAGAAAACCAGAATGAAACACAAATGACAGGAGAAACGATGAAACAAACCAGTTTCTTTCATTTTTCTTAGCCCTTCTTGATAATTTGGTCCCCCTCGCCGTACATGTATAATGACCTTATGCTCATGTAGACGTTTTCCATATTCCTCAAGGGCTTTTATAATACCCTGCAATGAATTAATTTGAGTAACGTTATTTCCAAGCAAACAACAGGAAATAAAACTACAAACTTACTTTAAATGTTTTTGCAACATTGGTGAAATTAGCAATTGAGCCACCGATAATTAGAATTTTGCCTTTTGGATGTGGTGGGCCTTCCGTAAGTACACTGAGTATGGTTTTTGCATATTCATAAGTCATTACTTCAGATGGATCACCCGAATATTCACCGTAATTTGCCAACTCAGACATCCTTCCCAGATCACAAATTGTATCACTGAAAGATGGTTATCGAAAGTGGTTAATTGTAACCAAAAATCATTTAAATCAGTTAAAATATTCGTTTCATGATTAATTATATCTCGACACATACGTGTAAACAACAGAAGCACCACCACCAGCTACCATAGTCCAGATACGACCTCGACGATTTAAAATAGTTAATTTCAATGAAGCACCAGTTTTCGAATCGAGACCAGCAACATATTTTTCCTATAAAAATAATCATCACTGTTAAAGATGTTTTTTAAACTGGTCTCGCCTTCTGTTTTATATTTAGCATCTTTAATAACATGTTTTTGTTGAGTTTAATTTATAATTACTAGTTATACATCAGCACTATTTAGTAGAAAGATTGTAAGCATTGAATTCATTACTAACAACTGTTAAAAGCAGTCTATTATAAAAACTGAAAAGTTTACAAATTGCTTCAATAAAAAAAAATGACCGAGAGCAAAAATGTCATGCTTGAACAGATGTCAAGATTGAGTAAGTTTACTGATAGTTGAATATGGAAAGCTGAAAAATAAAAAGAAATTTTCTTCCATCAGAATCGTAGATTTTTTTAAACAAAAGATAAGCCATGAGAACCTCTGCCATTTTATCTCTCCCGAAAGGAGCAGGAAAATCAATCGGCTCTCCATTTCTGGTCTTCCAATTTTCCGAACAAAGAAATAGCGCTGTTTCATCAAGCTTTGCGGCAAGATCAAGTATGTAGATTTTGTTGTTGACCAAAACTGTAATACAGTTAATTAAAATTGAAATGCAAAACTATGGATAGTCTAAAAATCTTCCATTCAGGTCCCAAAACAAAAAAGTTCCTCCTAATAAAGTGCAACTACTAGGAAAATGACAAAAGTTTTTGACAGCAAAAACTTCATTGTAGGGATTCTTACCAAATGGGTTTATCTCTAAATAAGTGAAGTAATTCTCCTTATACACATGATAGAGAGCTTTTACAAAGGTTTTCAGTAACCTGAAAATATAGTATGATGATTAAACAACTAAATGAGTGTTAAAAAGAGCTTAAATGCACAAATAATTTAAATTTTACAAATTCATGCATCCAAACCGAACTGGCTGAAGAAAGTTTAAACTGTCAGCAACCGTTAAATGATTAATTTCCAGAAATTGAGATGATCAGAATTAATAAAGCGGAAGTGGGTAATTTTCCTAAAAGATAGATTTAGAAACATATAACTTCCCATATAATCTAAAAATAAAGTAGAAATATATAACTTCTCATATAATCTAAAAATAACGTTGCATTGATGTCTAAAGCTGTTAATAATTTTTCTTCAAAGGGTAAAAATAAGTCTAAAAATTAAAATCAAATACAAGAATTTCAAAATTGTATATGACATACAATAATTTTTGACTTTCATTTGGACCGATCAATGATTCAAGATCATCATCGGAGATAGAACCGCTCTGCTTGTCGAGATCTATTGGGATATGCAATTTACGAGCCTTAAATAAATTTTGTAGCGTTCTTTGCTTAATAACTGATCACAGTAGTGAGCTGTTGAGATCCAAACCTTGTCATCAATGTTTCCAACATCGACCCCACCATGTTCATAGAAGAGAATGACATCATCTTCGCGTCTGCTTATTATAGCAATATACATTTCATCGCTATCTGAATGATTACAGAACGGTTCCAAAATGAAATTTTGCAAAGTTCCAACTGTTTTACCAATCTGAAACATCATACCACATGAGCACTACAGAAGATTTGCATATAAATCAATGCAGGAGAAAAAATTGCTAACAGAAGCCTATAAATCAAACCTGTATGCTCTTATCTTTCATTTCGTTGAACCACTCACGCAGGACAGATAGATTTCCACATTTCACTAAACCCAGTTTACCTCGACGCTTGATCAATTGATCTGGCTTAATTACCGCTTTCTGCAATGGAGATTTTTTGGTATTCTGTTTCATCCAAGAATATATATATTGCAAAAGAAGAAAAAAATCTTCAAATGATATTCTGACAACAATTATAAAATTACTATCAGTCCCAACTCGTCAAAAATCTAACGAGAAAATCTGAATATAATTCACAAATCTTTGAAATACGTTTCATTTCCTAAATTTGCATTGATAAAAGAAAAATACAAAGAAGAAAAAATTAATTAACAGTGACCAGTTCATATTTTCGAAAAATAGCCATATGCTTGTATTTCAAACAGTTTTCTGAATTAGGTTAGACAAATTCAAATTCAGTAAGAACAGGAAAAGGTTAAGGAAGACAGATTTATTCCTTTTAAAAAATAATATCGCTGTACCAGATATAGCGAATACCTTATCATGAGTGAGCCATTCAATTTTATCAGTTACAGTGTCGAATGAATCGCTTGAAACAAGTCTTAATGTTTGTGGCTTCTCAATAAATTCGAGTTCTTCCAAATATCGATATAGTAATTCCTTGCCCGTATATTCACTAATTGCTTTTGCTGACATCTTTCAAAATTGTAGCAAGAAAAGTGGCCTGGAATTTAAAGTTTGTTCTATAAAATCATTATTAATTCATGGGAGGAAAAAATGAAAGCTTAGAAGAACACTGAGTTACAAAAGGTTATAAAGCAAGCAAAATGTATTCGGAATAATTAAAATTCCTTCAGAAATAAAACATTTACATCATCACAAAGAGAAAGGGAGGGAAACAATTTGAACTCTATGACCTAAACTAAACATTTCAGCAACACCTCCGATAAGAAAAAATTTGATAAGGAATAATTTGGGATGTGAATTGCTTCATTTTGTGAGGCAGTACAAAATGACACCATCTTTATATATATATATATATATATATATATATATAAATCAAGCAAAGAAATTAAAAAGGTAATAGAACTGAACTATAGGAAGTGATCATTTTAGTATATCAGTGGATGTTATCTTTTAATCTTTATAATTAATTAGTATGTTTATTCTTTTCTTCTTTTTTGCTCCATGTAAAGGACCCAAAATTTGTCGAAAAAAAAAAAAAAAAAGAAAGAAATGATGGTAAGATATGTGTTTGAGAAAAATTAAAAAAGAAAAAAAAAAAAAAAAACTAAAGAAAAATTAGTGAACGAACAATTTCATTTGGATTGAATGATATGTAATACACAATGAATTTTATTTTATAAATCCCACTTCTAAAAATAATTGATAACTAAAATATTGACACCTGATTTCATTTCAAATATATCATTCCTATTTCCTAGCAGCAATCAAATTATGACAACGCCCGCTCATAGTAAAGTAGTCAAACCGCTTCACCCCATTATACAACGATTAGGGCTCAATGCATCTACATGACATACTTATAATTTACTCTAAACTAATTAATTTATTCATTTAGAAGGAATAATGAATGTGTTAAATTTTTATCATAAATATTATCACTGATATACTATTACTGACATATAATTTTGTCTGAAAAAGAATGCATGTAGTAATATTTTTTTATTACCTTGCATTAACTAAATCATTAAGTAAATCAGAGTACCATTAAACAGTAGTAGGCTTATTAATTAATTAATTTCAAACAAAATGATTGGACAATTTTTTTTATTCTTCTTCAAGAATTAGTTTATAAAATATTAATTAATTATTAAAAGAAGTATGAGATAAAGGGAGAAGAGAAGAGGTAAAAGCTATGTGCAGACAAGGACAATAGAATTATTAACACAAACATACGGATAGAACTAGTAGACATACCTGGAATGAATAGTAAAAAGGCGGTAACGGACATATACCCATTGCGCTTTATCTTTATACACAATTGCAAAATGGTGGAATGATGTCTGTACGTTATTATTTACGCTCTAGCTTAACAGATTAATTCAGTTCATAAATTCATTTCTCTATTCCCACATTGATCTTTGTTCTTCCTTCTAGTTTTTTTTTTTCCTTTTTTTTCAACGCTTTATATTTTTAAACTACCTTATCTGTTTTATCATTCTTTACCTAGAAATGATATCTCAGATTCAAATTGTCATCATTTTTTTTCCTTTTATTTTTCTTATCATTCTTTATCTGTAAATTTAACATGTTATTGTTTTTATTATTTACACTCCAGCTTAGTTGATTAATTCAATTTATAATTTCATTTCTCTATCTCCACACTGACCTTTGTTGCTTCTATTTCTTTTTCCTTTTAACATTTAATATTTTACAACTATTTTATCTATCTTATCATTCTTTACCTACAAATGATATGTCACACTCGAATTGTCATCACTTTTTTTTTCTATCTTATCTGTTTTGTCATTCTTTATCTATAGATTGCACATGTCACATTCAAATTGTCACCATTTTTTCTCTTTCTGTAAAAAATAAGTATAAATAGATCTTACATATATGTTTCATCTATTTTTATCATTATGAAATGATGAAATGTTTTTAACTATTGCAACAAAAAATTTTGTTCAGTTAAAACCATCCATAATAAAATTTGTGTTCGATTTACTTTGAAATTATGATTAATTTGAAATTACAGTTGAATTTTAATTCAGATTAATTGTCATAATCAATTTGTTCATTTTTATTCCTGTGCTAATGGCACATGAGACATTATTCGAATGCATTATTATTTAATAATTCATCCTATTATCCCATTTAAGCTTACCATAACCTTTAAGTTTAATGCATAATTAATTATCAGTTGTAATTTTATCACGTTGAATCTTTTTATTTCATTCCAGCATTGATCTATTATTGTTATTCAATAATTGTAAATAACTTCACTAAAATGGGTACAATCCATCAGTAATAGTATTAATTATCATCAGTAATTTTATTATTATCTCTTGTTGCTGTCATCTAAGTTAATGATTTAGGTTTAGACTTGGTTCTGGATCTAAACCTAGTTCTGAGTCTGAATCTGCACTTGATTTAAACTGCTTTATTAAGAATAAATGCATTTGATAGGCTTATATCGAAGGGTGTTTTTCTCATCTACTTTTGTTGAAGCACAGCAGTATCTCTAGCGATTTTAGCTGATAAAGCAATGTGAAACCAGAATGTAAATGTGGGCAGTTGATAAATAGTAGTATATTATAAAGCTTAATCCGTTTTTATCAACCGATTACTTCCATCTCTCTCTCTCTCCCCCCTCCCCCTCCTCCTCCTATTCATTCAATATTTTTTTTTCAATTATTTTGTTTTCTATTGTTTCCTATTGTTGTCTTTACATAACTCAATCAACAATACTACTTTATTTTTCTCCCTATTATTCAATATGTAGAATGAATCTCAATTTTAAAACAATCTTTAACTTTTCTTATCGAAATTTTTCTTTTACTTTTCTTATGTTCGACTTTTCTTGTCATCATTTATCACAATATCATAATTCTTATCGTAATTAATGTGATAGTATAAAATAATATTGTCTTACATTTTATCAAATAGCGTATAGGATGTGTCTTATGATTATGAATGATATTGTCCAAAATGACAAAAAAAATCAAAGAATTTTATTACATTTTATACTGATAAGTTTGAATAATTTAATTTATAATTTATCAATTTTCATTCAGTTCAACAAATTCATTATTATTAAATTATTTATTAAAACGTTTAATATGAGAGAAAAAGAAAAAAGTTAATACAAGTTTATTGAGCATTCCTTTTTTTTGAGTAATTTCATTGTAAGAAAAAAGAGGGAGAAGATATATTTAACTAATTCAGCCAATTATAAAATTTAATTTAAAATTTAATTCATTTTATTCAATAATTCGATACCAAATTTGAATAATCTAGCATTCGATTGCTCATAATTTGTATATTTGAATTAGTGAAGCGTTAATTTCTTTTATTGACTTGTGCCATTTTAAGGCTTTCCTTCCTCTCTCTCTCTCCTTTTCTCTCTCTCTCTCTCTCTGTTTCTCCCTTTCTATTTCTTTCCTCCCTGCTTATAGAATATAACAATCGAAAATTGGTACTGGGAAAAAGCCATCCATCTTGTTCTTTGAATCAATGCGATTTTCCGAATTGATCTTCCTCACAGCTTTTGTAGACAGAGAGGAAAAGAAGGAGGGGGAGAGGGAGGGGATGAGAAAGGGAGGGAGAGGGAAAGAAAAGGATGAATTCCAAAACACCAAATCTTTTTTTTATTTTTTTGAGTCCAACTTTATACGTTTGGTTTAATTTTTTTGTATTTGTTAAAGAATTTAACAATAAATTATTTTTTATATTTTTTAATTTTTCAATTTCATATTTCTCGCTTTTTCTTTTTTTTTTCATATTTGTACTAAATTAAAAAAGTATTTCACTGCACATTATGCGATAGTTTTTTTTTTTCCTTGTTGTTGTTGTTGTTCAATAACATTTCAAATTATCTTTTTCTTTTTTTCTAAAAAAAAAAATGTTTTTTTTTAAATCACTTTTATTTATTATCTCACAATTTTAGATTTTAACTACTTTTCAAAATAATTATATTGATGAAGAAGAGAAGAAAGGACGAAAGAAAGAAAGGAGAGGGGGAAACGATTGTAAAGTTAAAATGAATTTTTTATTTCTCTTCTTTATCTCTCTATGCATTCCTTCTTTTAATAAGGCAATTTATTTCTGGTAGACCAATTTTTTCTTTCTCATTGAAAATCAAATTTCTATTTAAGTTTCTAATTTAGTGTGAAAAAAAAATTAAATCACATATTTTAATTATTCGAAATCATTTCATTTGTTAATTTTATAATTGCTGTCATTAATTAACATGAAGCAGTGTCATTAATTAATTAATTAATTATTCGCTCATTTACATAAGCAATGTTTGTTTCTTTTTTTTCTGTTAATTAAAACAAATTTTCAAAATTTGTTCTGGTTTGAAAAGTAATAAAAGGGAAATCATATGAAAGAGACGAATCTTATTATCACTATAATAAATAGTAATGATTTGGAAAAATTAAATTTAATTACCAATTTACAAAGAAAAAATAAGCTGTGCAGAAATCTTCAAAGTATGGTAATGTAACAAAAAATAAATCGGAAGGACAGGAGGGAGAGAGAGAGAGAGGGAGAGTCAAATTTAAGCTATCTGTCATACCGCAGATATCAGATTGATTGTACTTTCCGATTAGTTTTACAAACATATCGCAGAACTAAGATATCTTTGTAAATGATCAATGTATTGATAAATCATTATCATAAATTATTAAAATTATCAGTTCATTTTTTCAAGTAAATCATTTCTCTTCCAACAATAATTAATCTCTTGATGCATTTTGAAAATCGATTTTTTAGTTAAGTCTTAAGAGCTTTCATTCTCTAATTAATTATTTGTCCATTTTTTTTTTAATGTTACAAAGATAAATGAGAAAGTGTGCAAAAAGAAATTTAAATTTAAAATGAGTTTTTTTTTTTTTTGTTGTTAAAACAAACTTTATTTTATTTTATGACAAACAGTTGAATATAATCATTTTGACAGCGTACAACTTCTGAAAAAAAAAAAAAAAAAAAGATTTAATTTTCTTCCATCACAACTTCTCTTCAAATTTCCTGTAATGTATTAATATTTTTATGATAAGCCCGTATAAATATATTGTTGTAGGAGTAAATTTTTAAATTAAATTTTTTCATTTTTCATTTTTTAATCCTAAAATTAACTCCAATAGGCATAAATTTATTCAAAAAAAAAGAAAATTGCTTAATAGATTTTATCAAACAATAAATGAAAAACTAAAAATTGGGAAAAAGATTACTGCATTATACAGCAGATTTTATCACAGAACTTTAACTGAGAATTAAACTCAGTTAGAGTTAATTAATGCCATATAACAATTTAATTTAATTTTATCGATTTTAAAATGCGACAGATGGTTTATTAAACTATGATAGGGAAAGGATAGAAAGATGGAAAAACGATTTATTACAGCTTTGATTATTCCATTCAATTTCACTCTTTATATTTTACATTTACTTTTTTTTTCTTTTTTTTTTTTTATTTCAGATTCTTTCGTTACAAAATTGAGATGGCTATTTACATTCATATCATTTTGCGGAAAAGTATTGATCGAATAAATAATGATAATATCAGAAATGGAAGTTAATTTCGTGTACATACATATATGTATACATGAAATTAATTATCCGTAGTATACGAAATTACTATGATTTAAATACCATTTTGTTTCCTCTTTTTTTCACATTTCTTTTTTTTAAAGAAATTCTTTGATTATCTTTTTATTTTGTACACTTTTTTTTTTTTAATTTTGAATTTCTTGATTATAAAATTTAAGTAGTTGTTTACATGCATATCATTTTGAGAGTGAGTAATGACCAAAACAGATAATGATAATATCAGAAAAATTAATTTCGTATTATAATTCAATCTAATCCTCTTTTGTTTGTTAGGATGAAAAAAAAAAAAAAAAAAAAAAAAAAACAATAAATCGATAAACTGTAACAGATAATAAATGGTGAATTTTATTGCAAAATTATAAGACTTATATCATTGATAAATATATTTGATAAGTGATAAGTGTTTAAATAATACAATATATGAGGCAAATAATTCTCATTTGATTATTTATTAATCAAATGATTTCTTCAATTTTCTTCAATATTTCATTCAGCTTTCCATGACTATAATACTGTTATATTAAATTCGTCTCTCTTTAATTATTACTGATCAAATAATATTAAAAGTAATTATTCCAATTTATTGATAAATAAATTTAATAAATAAGTATTATCGTTGAAAATCAATATCATTGAAAATTATAGTTATCCATCTATTTTTTTTGTTTTGTTTTGTTTTATTTTGTTTCGTTTCGTTTCGTTTCGTTTTTGCTTTTGTTTTTGTTTTATTTTAGTTTAATCTGTTTTAGTTTTTAAACAATATGTTTACATAGTTTTAACAAATCATATCTGATTAACTTTATTAAATACTTTTTTTAAAATGCATTTTTATTCAATTTCATTCATTTTTGAATTTTTTCAATTGCAAATGGTTTAATTTAGAATTAAGCAAAAAAAAAAATTATATTTCCATCATGTCCCAACTATGGGACATGATGGAAATATAATTTTTACCTTTTAAATTTTTACCTTTTAAAAAAGTTTTTTTTTACCTTTTAAATATGTCTAAAATGTCAGTTTTATTGCTCTTCATTCTTATTTACTACTTTATTAATTAGATAGTATTATTCACACACACACACACACACACAACTAAAAATAAAGTGGTGCAAAAATCCTATAAGGCTAAGCTAAGAAAGGCCTACATGACTAAGCTAGGCCATTTTGCCTTACAAATCATTCAATTCTTACATCGGTCAAAAAAAAAAAAAAAAAAATAAAAATGAAAAAGCTTTCTTAATTACTTTTTTTTTTTTCCTTTCAATAAAAAAAAAAATTAAATTTTCTTTACAATTCACGGTGAATTTAATTATAGTAATATTAAAATTGATACTAATATACTAAAAGTATATTTTATAGAATGTTGAGAATTAATTAATATTAACCATAAAATTTTTCGATAATGAGCCAAGAAAGAATGAAGAAATAAGTAAAAGTAGCAACAAGAATTATTAATGGACTGATTCTCCAGTTTTTTTTTTTTAATTGATCCAATTTTTTCTTTTATTAACTTAAGACATATTATATTTAAGGCTTATTACGATAAATCATTTATCACTCAGCTTTTTATCAGCATATTACATGATACATTTTATGTAATTCTATAAAATTTTTCTACTTATTAATATTTTATCTCTAATTTTAATGAAGTAAGTTTGATATTTTTTAATTTGCTTCCTTCATTTATATTTGCATTTTATATTTGTACTTTTCAATTGAAATATTACTACGATAAATATGTCTGAGCAAACAAGAAATATAATTTGTCTTATGGTGATGCAAAAATTTGTTTAATAACAATAAATGAATATTTGAATAATTGTATTATTCAACTTTTGATTTTTCGAAATTTCGAATGATTGAAAGATTTCTTTAAAAAAAAAGAAATCAAGTTGAAACATAAAGTAAGCAAAATTCATTTTAGACTTTTCAACAATTATTTTAAAAGAAACCAATAAAAATGTATAAAAATCCAACTCTGCAATTTAACTTTAGCTTTTAACTTCTCAAAATTTTTGCCATAAAAGAGAAAAATTCATATGTAAATAAGTTATAAAAATACAATAATTATAACTTAATATTCAATTTTCTTATTTAATAATCTTTTCTTTTTATTATTTCAATTTTCTTTTAATTTTTTTGATTAATAATTTTCAATATTCCTTTCAATTTTTTGATTAAAAATAAATAATTTCCAACATTTTTGTATCCTTTCAAACCGCTTTTTAGCTTATTTTCATCCTCTTTTTTTCGTTTTCCTTTTTTTTTTTTTTTTTTTTGTCTCTTACATCATTTATTATATTAGCTGTGATGATAATATAAATAAACAAACAAAATTTTTATAAAATTTTTCGATTTCATTAATTTATCATTGAATTAAATACATAGTATGATGGATTCATCCATTAAACAAAATAGTTAGCTTTATGGCTAATTTGCATAACCTTTGTTATTGTCTCTTTTTCAATAGTATACTCTTTTAACAGTTTTAACTCTTCTCATAAGCAAATCTTATTAATTCAACTATTCTCCGCTATTTCATCTAATTTTTGTCTATTTATTTGTTTTTTACCATTCTTTTTTTAATCCATAAATTGTATATTAATTTTGCAAAAAAGATTTGAACTTTTTTAAATACCATACTAAAGTTTTACTCTAAGTAACACAACTATATTACATGAATGTATAAATCACCTAAATTCTCAATCTCTAATTTATTGGTAACTTTACATCCCGATAGGTTAGTCACTTATGGGATTATTGAAATAATGCAAGATTTTTAAAATCATTAATTTTTATGTATTCTATTTTATTTAGTTTAGTTTCTTTTTTTTCTTCATTTTTTATTTATTTTTTTTTAAATAATTTGCTATGATTATATTCATTTTTTTTTCTTTTTTCTATGCTATTTAATTGATCAGAATTAATTTTTATTTATTTGATTTAGTTTCTTTTTCTTTCATCCTTTTTTTTTTTGAATAATTCGCTATAATTACATTCAAAAAAAAAATTTTTTTATCTGCTATTTAATTTACCAGAATTAGTTTTCATTTTTATTTTCCTCATCACTTGTCAACATCTTCATTCTATGCATGTTGAGCGAGAAATGTTAGCTTTTAAATTTGTTAATAAAAATGATTAAAATGGTTACATTTTAATGTACATAAATAATTAATTTATCACTTTTCTCTTACAAAATTAAATATTATCAATTAATATGATATAAATGTTAAAAGGAGTAAATAAATTGAATTTAAAGATTAATTCTAAGTATTATATACTTAACAGCATTTGTTTATTTTTTTATTGTATCCTACATATTGCATATATCGTATAACATTTATCATTTTCATAAACATTACATTTGTTAAATATTTATTGTTGTATTACTAGTATTTATATTAACTAACTATTTCAATTATTTCAGTTGTATAGGAATAGTAAAATATTATATTTTTAAAATTTCTTACTTATCAGATTGTAAAATTTCTGTAGATTTCGAAAACTATGAATTTTATTATCTAAAAAAAAGTTTTTTTTTTTCCGGAATAATGAAAAAAAGAACAATAAATTTCTTTCCCAATTGAATTATTCATGGATCTAAAATTTTGACTGCTAAATCTTTATAAATGCTTTATTTGAATTAAAATTTAACAAAACATATAAAAAAATTTCATATTACTACTATATAATTTTCTGATTTTAATTTTCAACTAATGCTTTTTATTTCGATTAATTCAGGTCCATGTTTAAATTAAAATAGCTTTTTAAAAAATGATCTTTAATATTGAATTGCTTTTTTTATTTTATTTCATTCTAGCAATTATCTATGAAAAAATTGAAAATTTTCATTCAAAATTATTGTTAGATTTTGCAAAATGCTTTATTGATTGTATTGCTATTCCATCACTTGTTTGATTATTTTATTAATCTCAAGACTTTTTTTCAATGGTATGAGTTAAAGAAATTTTTTTCATAGTAATTTCATAGAAAATGAAAGATTAAAATACTGAAATGAATATTTTAGGTTAAAATAGCAGTTAATTAACATAAAATGTTAAGCTAATTAGAATTATTAGATGGTAATTTTTTGATTTCATCATCATGTTGTTATGCCTCGGATACGATCTGAACATTTATTTATAATTCTTACTCTTTTCTATATTGCAACACTTATTCGACTCTTATTTTATCCACTTAATTCAACGGTTTGTTTTTAATTTTTTCTTTTTTAATTTCGAATCATTAGTATTTTTAATATATTTATTTTTTTAGTATTTTTGAAATTATTAAAAAATATTTATTTTTTGGATTTTTTTTGATTTGAATTTAGCTTTATCCCTGAAAATTTTGAAATATATGTGTGCAATAAAATATATTTCAATTTGAAAAGACGAAAAATCTTTTTTGTTTTTGCTTTTTTTTTTTTTAAATTACATTTTAAAATTTTATTAGGCATCGCATTCAAATTTGCGCCAATTTAATTATAAAATAAAAGATTTGGAAAGGCTTTTGCAAGAAGGTAAAAATGAAATTGCATTACTTCAGTAAGTTTTTTTTTTTGCAATTTAAAAAACTTTTTTTTTTCGAAGAATTATAAAAATAGGTAATAATTAAGTTCAAAACTGCTAAAAGAAACTTTTGTGTTATAAATATTTATTTACTGAATTAAAAGTATTTCATTTTGTATTATCTCAAATGATCGTTAAATATTGTAAAATATATCATAGTTATAAGTATTAGTTAATAAATCGGATAACTAGAAAACGACACTTAATTTTTAATCAACCATACATTCTTTTATATTATAATTAAACTAGCTGATAACTAAGTATTAACAAAAATGGTAATAAAAAATAACTTTTTTTTTTTTTTTTTTTTTTAGGAAGAAACTTGATGAAATTGAAGAGAAGAACGCTAGTATGATGAAAACAATGCAGCCTTACCATCCTTATCATATACTACAATTGCAGAAGTTTAAGCAGTCTTTTAAACATCATTCAAATAATCAATGGCCTGGTCAAATTCCTGTCCTAGTATTTGTATGTAATCGTCCTGAAGCAATTTACAATCATTTGAAGAAATTACTCAGGCAAGTAATTCGCTCACTTTTCTTTTCTTTTATAAATTGTTTTTAAAAAAATTAGTTGATTAATTACATTAATGGTATAACTTTAAGAGAAGCAAATATCATACTTTCTTTTTTTTTTTTTTAGCATAAATGATATGTGGCTATTTAATTTTATTAGAATGATACCTTAGAATTAAATAATTTGAAATGATGCGTACAAATAATTTTGTTCATGATTTTGAAATTATTTAAACTGATGTTATGATTAATATTTGCGATAAAAAAGAAAAAAAAAAACTTATATTTAGGTATCGACCATCAACTGAAAAATTTCCAATAATAGTAAGTCAAGATTGTGACGATTCAAGTGTCAAAGAAGTCATTGATAAATTTGGTGCTGAAATAATTTATGTTAGAGTAATGTATTTTTTAATTATATTGTAATATTTCTTTTTTCGAATTAGTAATGTTTGTTTTTTTTTTTTTTTTTTTTTTTTTTTTTTTTCAAACACTTTAATAGCTAAAAATTATTGTTGAATGAAAATAGAAATAAATTTTTGGAATGAAGTTATTATAATGCGAATTGAAAAAAAAAAAAAAAAAACGAGTGCTTATTTTCCATTAGTGTGAATTTATTTAGTATTAATCATTAATTTTAACAAAAGATTTTTTTCTTGGTTTTGATTCGAAAAATTTCGAAAAAACATCGTCAAGCAATTATAATTTTTCTAAACATTCTGTATGGTTAAATTTTGTTTATTAATTTTTTCAGCACTAAAGCTACAGATGTGAAGGAGTAAAAAATGCAAAATGATATAAGTATGAATGTGATAATTATTAAGTTTAATTAAATTAACCGTTTGTTTTCCATTTTCCTAAATTCATTTCTATTATGCAAATATGACTCTAAGTGACAGCTTTAAAATTATTTGCTTTACCTTAAATTTGGTGCTTAAATTGATGCTCAAATTTTGAAAAATTTTGGAAAACGATACAAAATATATATATCACTAGCTAATTTCTTAAATTTGGAAATAAATTTTTAAAAAAAATCTAATTTTAATTAAAATTCTCAAATTCGATACAACATATAGAAATTAATGTATAAATATGAAAAAAAGAAAAAAAAGAAACAAAAATTTAGCTGATAGATAACATTAAAAATTTATTAATAAGAAAAAAATTTTTAATTTAATATAATTTTAATATTGAAAAAAAAAAATTTTTTTTAAGCTTAATATAATTTTAAAAGCAATAATGTATTTATTATTTTATAGCATTTGAACAGTTGGAGTGCTCATTTTACAGTAATTCCGGAACATAAACGTTACATTACGTATTATCGAATAGCACGGCATTATAAACTTGGTTTATCATATGTATTTGATAAGCTTAATTATTCCAGTGTTATTATTACAGAAGGTTTTTCCTTTCTTTTTTTTTTTTTTTTTTTTTTTTTTTTTTTTTTTTTGTTTAATTTTTAAATTAGTAGCTGTAATAGCATTTGAAATTATTTTAAATATTTTGAATCATAATTTTAATTTTCACTCCAAATTACTAATTATAATAAGCATTGTAAATTATTTTAAATTATAATTTTATTAGAATTGTTATGTTAGATTTTGAAATTTTTCTTTCAATTTTAATGTAGAAAAAAAAAAAGAAAATCTTGTTTTATTTAATTATATTTTTATATTGTAGATGATTTGGATATAGCACCTGATTTTTTCGAATACTTCAGTGCGACGCGTTCACTTTTGGATGCTGATAAAACATTGTATTGTATATCAGCATGGAATGATAATGGCAAAGATTATTTAATTGATAAGAAACAACCTGAATTATTATATCGTAGTGATTTTTTTTCTGGTCTTGGATGGATGATGACAAGGTAAGAATTTTTTAAATCTTTCTTTTTTTTTGAAAATTTTTTTAAATTTTTATAAATATTAATTAATCATTTAATGCAAAATTGTTATTTTCAATAATTTTTTGTATACAATTAAAATATATGTTCTATAAGTTTGAAAGCTTAATAAAAAATAAATGTTCTCATGTAAATAAATGAATTATAATCATTTGTTATTACTATAGAGAATTATGGAATGAATTAGGTCCTATTTGGCCAAATGGGTTTTGGGATGATTGGATACGTAATAATACGATACGTAAAAATCGAGCTTGTATTAGACCTGAAATATCACGTACTGGTATGACTATTGAGGGAAAAAAAGGTGCAAGCAGGTTAATAATTTTTTTCTGTAATTAAATGAAAAGTAAATATCAATTTTGATTAAATATTATTTAAATGAAGTAATCATTTCTTTTTTTAACAAACTTAATTTATTCATAATTATGACATAATTTTTATCACATTTACATAAAATTTTAATTTATTGCAGGGGATTATTTTTTACGCAGCATCTTGCCAAAATACTTCTCAATGAAATTTTTGTAAATTTTACAAAATTAAATTTACGCTATTTACTTAAAGTAATCTTTCATTTATTATTATTCTAACAAATTTAAAGAAAAATTGATAAAGTAAATTTTAATTAACAATTTTCTTTCCTTTCCAATTATTTAATAAATTTTTTTTTCCTCAGAAAATTTACAAAGGAAAAAGATATCTTAATTAAATATCTTCAGCTATACAAGATGGTTTAGAAAGAATTATATTATTTCTTTGTTCTTTAAAATGTTTTTACAATTACAATTTCTTGATTATAATCAAAGAAATAGTTTAACAAACTAATTTCAAGTAAAATTAAATATTTTTTTTTAGGAAAATTATGATCATACTTTTTTACAACGTGTCTATTCAGCACCACTTATCTCATCGGTAGAAATGTTAACAAAAGAAGTTATCACACCAGCAAGTAGTGTTGTACGTGTTCAGTACACAACATTAGAGAATTATCTTCAAATTGCTGATCAATTGAAAATAATGCGAGATTTTAAAGTAAATTTCAAAATTAAAACTTCAGTTCAATTTTCATTGCAAAAAATTTTTTAAATATTTTGTCACTCTATGGAAAAACAAAAAACTAAACAAAACATTAACTTTTAACTGGAATTTTTTTAATCTTTTTAAGTGTAAAGATTAATTAATCATAAAATAGCTTAATTAGGTGTGATAACTTTTATAAATATGACCTGTACAAGTGTGATTTTTTGTCTTTTTAAAGATTAGCTAATCATAGAATAGTCTAATTGAGTGTGATTACATGGCCTTTCAAAGTTCTAATCTTTGTTTTTTTAAGTGATTAATTAATCATGGAACAGTTTAATTGAAGGTGATAACATAACATCTATAAGTTTGATTTTTCTTTTTTTCTAATTAATTAATCTTAGTGAATAAAAATTAGTTCAAATTTATAGGATGGTGTGCCACGAACAGCTTATTTGGGTGTGATAACATGTTTTATCAATGGAGTACGAATATATATAGCACCTGATTGGAATATTTGGTCAGGTTACAATTCAAATTGGGAAGCACCATCAGAATAAAAACAGTATATTATATCATATTTGTGCTTAATTTTTATTATTCTCTTCTCTCAGTTTATATTCTGGTTTTTTCCTCTTTTTTTTTTTTGTTAGTTTTATTTTCATTTTCCCACATTAAATTGATTTTTACTTGTAATAATGATTTTTGCTCTCTATTATATGCTAATTTTCCTTTTCTTCATGAGAATATTTTAAATTAGTTTAATTATTTATGCGATATGAAGGCAGTTTTGTTTATGTATCATTTATGATAGTTGAGATTTTTCATTAGCTTTTACGGAATTTATAAATCTCAGGAAATAAAAAATTCAGAAGATGACCATATTTTAAATTCTTTTCGAATTTATTTCAGTAATTCATTAATGAATAATTGGAATATTTGTGTTCAGTCCAATTGTTAAGTCATCTATTTGTTCAATAAAAGATGCTTTAAGTATCATTTTGCAAAACTTTTGTTAGTTTGATGTTATTGTAATCATCAAGAAAAAAAAAAAAACTGTTACTATCTTTACCAAATCATACTGTACTAAAATTTTTGGTTTAAATTTAAAATTATAATTAATTATTATTACTTAATTACCAACAAAAAGCAACAGATTTATTTCCTTAAAATAAATGAAATTTCAAGATAATTACAAAAATAAGTAAACTGAAACAAAAACAAAAAAGAACTGTGTAATAGACCGAAAATTCAATTATATTCTCGTTTGTTTATTTAATTTTTTTTATTTAATAAAATAAATTGCAATCAAGAGGCTATGAAATTTAAATTTTTTAAATTTTGGAGTTAATAGAAATAGATTAATAGAATATTGAGAAAAATTGAATTTGCGATTAATAAAAAAATATATAGCAATCGCTTTTTATTTCGTCATGAATGAGTAATTGTTGCGGAGAAATAAATTATAATTAAGAATATTTGAATTAATTAATTAATTTTTATTTAATGATAATGAGGATAGCAGCTGGCATTGTAATTTATCCATTTTCGCTTCTAATGTATTTTTCCTAATATGCTCAAATGAATATTTCAATTTTGTTCTTGTTTTCAGATACAATTACTTTTTTTATCATAATTAAAATAATTTAATAAACAATATATTGTCGTCTATGTCTTTTTTCTTAATTTTTTTCTTAAATTTTTTTAATTATCCAATGGAAATTTCCTTTTGATGGTTTTAAGCCTGAAATAAATTACAAGTTTAAAAGATTAGAGTGCAATAATAGTCTATCATGCAGAATTTAATGACTTACGTCGGTATGACATTACGGCTGCATTCTCTTAGGTTAGCATCACAAGAATCGAAGATTCAGTGTATGTACAATCAATGTTGTCGAAATTGGTGATAATGAATAGATTCCTGTTACAATAAAATAAAATGATTTGATTTAGTAATTATTCATTTAATAATGACTAATAATTATTTTTAATTATATTGAAAAAATAGTAATCAAAAATCTGTAAATAACAAAAATAAATAAGCACAAAAAAGCAAAATAAAATAAGTATCTTACAAAAAAAAAATTAAGAACCTCAAACATATAATAATCAAAACACAATCCTCTACATTCACTCCAAAAGTAAACAAACGACAGAGATGAGAATTTATAAAAACAAATTGTGAGAAATATTTTATAATCAAGAATAATACTTTCGTTATCAATGTTAATCACATACGCCTTGTTGACACTATGCTAACATATTGTTCAAAAACACTAAAACGGATAAAAACAAAAACAGTTAGATAACTATAATTTTCAATGATATACTTTGAGTGATAATTCTTATTTACTTATAAATTCAGTTTTATTGTGACAGGAATCTGTTCATCGCCGCAAATAAACAGCAGAGATGAGCGATTGAAACTTGATAAAAACAAATAAAGCCTGTTCTCAAAGTTCGCAAGTTATTTTATGAACACGTTCATGATCACGTTGCTCTAGTACAGACGTAATAACATTTGTTTGAATATTTGATGTGAAGTGAGAAATAAGATTTGAAGTGATTCTGTTGTGAAAATCCATCGTTGAACTAACTGATAATTGATTTATCTAATACCTTGAGTTTGGAGATGTTAATAATTTTTTTAAATTTTCCTTTAAGTTTAACTTTTTTTAAAAAAGTTTTATTGTTATTCAGTTCTTCTAATTTTGCTGGTTTTTTTTTTTTTTTTTTTTATCTTTGGTTATGTGTTTGATATCTTTAGGTGTTATTTGTTTTTTTTTTTTTTTTATGTTTATGGTTAGATTTAATTTTAGCCTGAAGTACTATGATCATTTTGTTTATTTCTTATTTTGTATTGGTTTATTATCTGTTTTTAGGTGTTTTAGCTTAAGTTGTAATTAGGGAATGATTTTCAGTTTTTATTTGTTTGCTTGTTTTTTTTTTTTTTTTTTTTCATTGTCTTGTATTTTTTTTTCTTGAAGTTTTTCTGAGGATAGTTGGGATACATAATAAAGCAGTTATACTCGAATAAAATAGAGGAAATGCGGGTAGGAAAAAGTCTTCAATGTTATTTTCAAACCATTCAATAAGTATAACGTTTCGCATGCTTAAATGAAGCGTAGAAATTTTAGACATATGAAAGAGTTTTCAAAATTTTTATAGCTTTTTAACTTATTAGGATAAAATAATATTAATTAAAAATTAAAATGGAATAAATTAATTAATTAAAAACTAGAATAGCAATCATGTGTGCTTCAACTTTTGATAAACAGAATTGGCACTACTGAGATGAGCTAAACGTTGAAATTAAAAATTGAAACTTACTATGCAGAAATTTCGTTTGCATCACATATTATTCAAAATAGTAAATTGGAAATTGGTCTTTTTTTTACACATGAAATGATAATATGAAGCAATGGAAAATCAAAATTATTGGAAAAAGATGATTTAAATTCTCTGGGGAAAATTATCAATAGCGAAGTGATATTATGAAGTCATAAATAGTAGATGAATTGAATAAAAATGATTTATTTATGTGATATTAGCATTCTGAGGACTGACATTTGCGCCTGAAGCATAATTTTACTATTATTACAGATGTGTATTTTGCATTCAAAAATTTATTGAGAATATAAAAAGAAATCAATTAATTGATATGATTGTCTCATTTTGTTGTATTAAAATTACTCAATATTTTAAAATTATTTTAATTTATAATTTATTGTTATTTCAATATTAGTTATTATTTTAAAAAGTGAAATTACTTATTATTTTGAAGTTTTAAAGTTTATTTCACTAATTCGAATTTCATTTATCTTTCTCAGTTACTCAAAATTATTTTACATTCATTGATTTGTAAGTGAAAAATATACGAAGTCATCTATAATTCCCAAAATATTTACGTCTATTCGTACAAATACTATTTTATTAGTTTTTATGATGCATGTTTTAATGTTCTTAATGTTACTTTTGATATTTTTGTCAACAAAATTTTGCTGAGGAAATATGTTTATGAAAATTACCAAAAATAAAATAAAATAAAACATTAGCATAATACAATTATAATAATGCTGAAAAAATGGCATAACAATTACTTCTTACAATTAGATAACATTAAAACATTTTAATTGTTTTCTTAAATTATTTTATTGGAATGATTATGTGTGACATACACTGCGATATATTCAGGATGTTTGTTGTGTGCAATTTGGTTGTTGTTGTAATAACTGTTCTGGTATCTGTTGCTGTATTTGTTGAATTTGAGTAAGTGATAGTGGTGCATACTGAATTCTGAAAAGTTGTTGTTGTGGTTGATGATGAATTGATTGATGTAGTTTTTCTGATAATTGTCGTTGCTGTTGTTCATACTGTTGCGGTTGATGTTGTTGTTGTGATGTTAATAATGACAATAGTAGTGATGAATGATGATGCTGTTGGTGCTGGTAGTAATAGCAGTTGTTGTTGTGATTCATCACACGCACGATTGTTATCACATGAATGATCGCATGATATACTGCATCGTTCAAGTGAGCCATTTTGCTGCATGCATTGTTGCATACAATTATTTTGACATAAATAAAGACAAACAGAAGAGTGTTGTATTTTATTTTCTTCATTAGCTGAAATTTGTTCCATTTTTGTTAAATATTGTTGTTCAGCTTGTTGATCAATAAATGTTGTTGATTGTTGTGACTGAACAAGTGGTGATAGTGAATAAGGATACATAGGTAATGAAGTGGAATAAACAACATTACCAGACAATAATGCTGTTTGATGAATGCATTGATCATAACAAGATTACATACAAAATGAAGCGCAAAATGAATGCTATGATTTAGCATATTATCATTTTTATTGTTTAATACTAATTGTTGATGTAATAATCCTTCTGATATTACTGGTTGTTGATCAATTGCTTTCACTATTGGATGTTGATGATTTTGATCAGCAGATGTTATTGGTAAAGTGTTTTGTTGAATACATTGACAAAATGGTATACAATCTTGATTACAAATAATATTCTTATTATTATTGTTATCTAAAAATTGGTCATATGGAATATCCAATTGTTAATCATTGAAATTTGAAATTATCATAGATGATGGTTTGCTTGATGCTGTCATCAATTTTGATATATTTGTTATTGATGGTATTGATTTGTTCAACTATATTTTTGATATTAAAGAAATACTATCCTGTTGTATGTTTGATTCCCATGTTTCATCCTGTTGTCGTTTTTGCTGTCGTTGTTGCTGTTGTTTTGGTATTCTTGAGAAAATTCAACAGATGAAATAGGTTGATCTATTTTACACATGTTTTGACAGGATTGTTGACAATGTAAATATTGCTTCTTCATGCATCTTTGAAGACAAATTGGAATCAGCGCTTCATTATTTCTTCGTAGTCGTCGCTGGTTTGCTACTACTATTTCGATTTGATATTTTGATTTGGGTAGACATTTAACTAAAATTTTCCGATATATATATATATACAGGTAGATAGATAGATCAATAAATCATCGGAAATATCTATCCGGTTTAGAAGTAATTCACTTTACTTAAACAAACAAATAAAAAAAATGTTTTGCAATAACCAACATTAACTCGAAATATTACATCCAGTTACATAATAGTTCAAATTACAAAAAAAAAAAAAAATGAAGTGGATAAAAATTTACTGTTATCAAACAATTGCTTTTTATAACAATTAAATAGCAATGTTTGAATATTTATGCAAATAAAAATTTTTTCTTGTAACAATTGAAAATCTTGAAAATTTATTTTAATACAATGACGTCATACCTATTTATAAACTTTTTTTTTCAATTTTCTTTACTGTTTAATGCCATTTTGTCGTTTCTTTCCTTTTTTTATATATAATATTTAAATTAATTAGTTTATGAAGGCATAGCATTGCTGATTGTGTGAATATCCTGAAAACAAATTTTTTTATTATCATTTTTTACTTCACTATAAATTTAAGAACAACTTTAGAGAATCATTACAAATTGAAGAACAAATTAAAGTAATCACTCTAAATTTGCGAATAAATTTAACAAATCACTACTAATTATAAATTTGCAAATTTAAAAATTTATTTAGGAAACAGAATATATATGAATGACACCAATTTAGTCAGGAAAAAAAATTTCTTTTTTTTTTTTTTTGTTAGACTGGTTTTAGTATAAATGATAAAGAAGTGATAAGAGAAGAGAGAAAAAAATTACTCACCAAATTTATAAGCAAATAACAATCTTAAATTTGTAAAAACTAATATATACTTTGCTGCAAAATGATGCATATAACTTTCCACGATATGTAATTCGTTATAATAATTAATTATTTATTGCAATCATTTTAAAATTATTTTACTTTAAAAATTCGAACATAATTAATTTATAATCATCCATCAGATATGAATTAAATCTTATATTATCAATAAGAATATTACGAAATAATTATTTATCAAACTATGAATCAAAATTTAAATTATATTGTAACTACTTTGCAAATAAACTTTATCTTTTTCTATTCAAAATTAACAGCTTTCTTGTCAATTTTATCAATCTTAAAAGGCAGAAAAAAAATTCTTTTAAATCACAAATTTGCATAATGTTCACTAATTATTCAATGCTTTATCATTAAAAAGTTATTCACCGTAGCACATATTAAAGCATTTTGTATCGATTTCTTTGAAAAAAAAAAAAAAAAAAGAAAATTAATTCATTAATCAATTCATATTTCCTCTCTTACTTTTTAGTTACTTTTCTTTTTTCATACTTTTCCTTATACAAAAGTTATTTTCAATGAATAAAAAATATGCGTGAAAAAATTATTCTCAACCCCTTATTTCATTCTTTTATGCTTCTTTTTTTTTCTCTTTCTCCCAAATAATTTTAACCTTCTATTTTTTATAAATTATTCTCAAACTAGAATAAATTATAAATATGTATTTGAAATTTTACAAATAAGCTTTAAAATATTGTTTAACTACTAATTTTTGTATGATATACTTATGTCTAAGAATCTATTATGATAATTTCTGAAATATTTTAATTCAAACGAAATTTTATTATTTTTTTCCTTACATTTTAAAAAGATCATAACGGATTTGCTATAAAAACTAACCGTTTTTTTAGCTTTTATGCCCTAATCGATTGAGTTAGCAAGTGAAAATAAGAAATGCAAAATCAGTAAAATGAAAATAAATTATAATGAAATGATTTAAATCTATCTATATCAATATATATATATATATAATTGAATTTGATTAATTTCAATAGAATGCAGTCTAAGATTTAAAAAAATGTCAATAAAATGTAGCCAAAAAATTTTTTTTAGAAAGAAAAAGAAAAACTGATGAAATCTCATGTTTCTGAAAAAATATTTTGAATGCGATAATGTCGTTATATAAAAAAAGAGACAGCTAAAATTTAGTATATATCATTTGCTGAAAAAAACATTTAAAAGTTCCATTTGAATTTACTATTCTCAAATTTCTGAAACAAACTTAAAAATTATTTAAATTTCCTCTACATGCATATACTTTTTTTGCCTTTACAAGAAATAGGTATCAGTTTAACAATTAACTTATTTCAATAATTTTAATCATCTAGTTAATCATTCTTTCTAAATTTTTTTTCTTCAATAATTATTGAAAGTCCATTAATCACACATCTGTATGGATTAGATTATAAAAGCTTAAAATATATAATGTGAATTTAAATATTATAATTTAAAATGAAATGTAACACTTATGATTTTCTTTTTTTTGAGATGTATAGTATGTTACAGGATCAACTTACAATCATATGAGCATTAAAATTTTTTTCCTAGTCTAATCATTTTATTTATTTATTTATTTGTTTATTAATTTTTAAAATATGGCATTAGTTTTATTTTTCCTTAAATTTAATCCAGCTATACAATATTTCGATGATTCAATTAATTTTTCTTAAAAAGACATGTGACAGTGGTGCAATAGAATTCAGTTATTGCTGGATTAAACAAACAAGCATTCAAGTTAGAAGAAAAAGAATCGAAAATTTATTTTATCATTGTTGTTGTTGTTTTTTTTTTTTTTTTTTCTTTTTATCTTTTTCCAGAAATATTAATAAAATTAATACAAATATTTGATAAAAAAGAATAATTTATTGTGTAGAGGAACAATTTAAAGCATATTATTATTTCATTTTTTTGAAATTTTAACTTTTTGTAAAAATCTTATAAAATATATTTTGTTGAAAATATTCTTACAAATGTAGGAATATCTTAATTTTTAATAAATGTAAGAATTTTATCCAATTCTTCTTCATTCATATCTGCTTGACCTCTTTTGATATATCATGTGTAGTTTCATCAATAAGCAAATTTTTATTTAAATATTTTTCTCTTCTTTAATTGCAATAAAAAAGTCATTAGCAATATGAATTAATTTGATAAATTATAAAATTTGTTAAGAATCAAGAAATTATAGAATCTGTAATTATATCATATCTCTGATTTAATTTGAAATAACGTGGATGACAATGGTGATAGGAATGACATTGATGATAAGAATGACAATGACGACAAGATACGATGAAAATAATTAATTTAAGTACAACAATTAATTTGATGAATATTATATCTATAAAAAATAATGCATACAGCAATTAATTTTAAAGAGTATTATATCTATCAAACAAAAATTTGTTACGAATTAAAAAGTTTAAACATTCGGAAAGTTAAAACTAAACATTACGATTTAGTAATCATATAAAATATTTCAAAGAGATAAACAAACTAACATTTGCAAAAAAGAGATGAAAAGTGAAAGTGATAAAAGAATGATTAAAGATTGCTAAGAAATAGAATAGAGGCAGATGAAAAATGAATTTAAGTATTAGAAGTGAGAATAGATTTTTATTGAACATATTTGAGAGAAATGATTGAAAAAGAGAAAATAAAATAAAGCTAGTTGAAAAAAGGATATTTGAGAGAGTTAGTCAATATAGTGTGATGAAATAAAATAAAGAAATCATAGACAAATTTTAACTAAAAACATAGATGTTAGCTTGGCTAGCTAGCTAACTCACATAGTTTGCTTATATTCTCATTTGTCAACAATTTTTAACTCTCATCGTTCTGTCATCTATCTTTTTACAATGTGTGCATTTATGCAAAATTATGTGTCATAGAAGAATTAGCCACTTTTCTCTTTTCAAGCAATCATTCTTGATAAAGTTTAGCGTAGTTTTTTTTCCTTTTCCTTTTTCATTTCAGCCTAAATGTTTTATTTAAGTTATTTGTTAGCCATATTTCATGTTAACATCGAATTTTTACCAATTTTTTTAATTTCATTATCAAAAACCTCCTCTCTTTCTTCCTGTCATTTTTTTTTTTTGTTTTTTATTATGAAATGAGGAATTTTAGATTAAACAATTAATAAGTGAAGAATGCAAGTAAAATAATTACTATTCAATGGTTCTTCTATTGTCCACTAGAATATTACTTACCCGTTCAATTCTAAATAATTTATCGGGAAGTTCCGTTCAATTCCAAGTATTACCGGAAATTCGCGTCCAATTCTAGGTAATCTACCAGAAATCTGCCGGAAATACCGGAAACTTCACCTCTTCCCCTTCTAACTAAAAAAACCTAAGTAGCCGTCCTTCTTTTTAACGTATCATTCATCCATTTCACGATGACATTTCATTTGGGCTGCGTTAATTCTAAGCATAAATC